TATTTTTTGTAAACTGTAATGTGGGATGCCTTTAAACTCAGACTCCTTTAGTGTCCCTGACCTAAAACTCATTAAATAACCAATATTTCATAGAAAGCAGTGAACTGCTGATTAAAATGCAGCGGTATCGGTGTCATTACTAAAAATTGCCTTCTCTCCCCCTTAGGGTCACAACAACTGTGCTGCGTCCCAGTTAGCTCTGATTGTTTTACCTCGGTGTCCAAAATAATTTATTATTCTGTGTTTGCTTTTAATGGGCTCCATACAAATCTGCTCTTTATGTGCTGCAATTTGGAAATTACTGCTCTGTAGCAAAACCTCAATTTTTCTCTGTAATATGCAGGAATGTGTGAACTGAGGGTTTCCAAGCATTGACATGGCGTGTTGAATTAGTTGCATAAAGAGAGTGATTATTTTGCAGTCTGTTGCAGAAAATAGGTAAACATTAAGAGATTAATGTTTCGTTTTGCTCTAACACGTTTAGACCTGCTTGAGTGTGATCGTGTTGATATTACAGCGCTCAGTAAAATCTGCAGGGTTGTTGGCATATTAAAGAGATTTTTTTGGGAGATAGCAACTTGTTTTCTATCTCTCAGTGAATACATTTTGATGAGTTTTGTCTTTAACTTCCTTTCTCCACAGTATCGTGGTGAAGTCGGAAGTATTGGAGTTACACAAGAAAATTGCTGCCCTGCACATGCTCAGCCTCTAACACATATAAGTGCTAATTGTGTGTGCTCTTTTGGTTCATAGGCTAATGAAAAGCCAGCATAGTGCAGTGTAACAAAGGACAGATGTTGCTATCTATCCTTTAGAAGGTGTCCCTTTACCAGCCTGACTCCCAAGTTTACCCTTCATGCAGCTTCTTCTCTCCCTCTCCAACCTGTTTTGTTGTTTCTCAAAACCAACAATTACAGTCCCCCTTATGACTCTTTAATCTCTCTCTTTCATACAGGTAGCGCCTCAGGGGGACTAGCAAATGCCAGTTTTGCAAATTTTGAGAACTTCCCCAAATCGTGTAGTGCTGACTTTGGATCCTTCAGTTCCTCCTCCCAGAGTAACTCCACAGGAGCTGGCAGAGACGTTGTACAGAGTACTAACATTTCTGCCGATAAATACGCAGCCCTGGCTGACCTGGATAACATATTTAGCTCTGCCAAAACAGAGCCAGGTAAACCCTTCATGCCTAGCCTGTTTCATAGATGTCCATTGTAGGGCTAGAGAATGACTGAAAAACAAAAATACAAACAGAAAACTAGGTTTAATTAGGCGCATAGATTTAAGTCCCTAAAAGTTTTCTTCTCCTGGCAGGGATAGGCAGTCTCTAAAAAAGGGCTGGTTTACATTTTCTAGCAATTTATACTTGCAGTAGAGGTCAGAAGTTTCATGCCCACGATGAGTGTATGTAATGTCAAGGAAATTTTGGGCTTTTAGACTAATGACTTAAAAAAATTGCACACGTTTTAATTCGTTTGGGAGGTTATCTAATTCAAATATATGCGTACATTCACTTAAATCTTTTAATAAGCAGTGCTAAAGGTTCTATAATCTTTTAACTTGACAAGGCCAAAACCTTTTAACTTCTCGTTACTGATGATTGACTGTAACTGGTAGTTTCTGGCCTCTTTGCCAGCATAAAAAGAATTTGTTTGATAGCAGCCATTGAATTGACCAATACTCGTATCTTCACTGACTTCCTTGGACTTTGAACAATCCTGCTTCTTAGAACAATGACAAAGAAATGCTCAAAATCCCCAAATTGCCAGGACATTAATTCTTACAGGGAATGTAAACTTCTGATCACGATTGTCTATACCTCAATGTTACTGAACCAGCTGCAAAAAGGCAACTGGACATGACTGAAATGCCTCCTCACTTCTGTGAATGCTATACATCTAGGTTTGACTGAAGCATTTTAATACCACATTATTAGAAGTTTGGTGTTTGAGTATCTGTGAATTGTACTGAGCTGGTTTTTCTCATATAAATATGTATTTTTGGCCTAGAAAATATACACTTCCTAATGACCTAACATTTATTCCCTATTAATTTCAGTAGGTTCAGTATGGCAGCTATCTCCGGACCTCTTTGAAAGTTTAACAGCATTTTCTTCTGCATTAAGTGAACTGAGGTAAATTGAACCTGGCTTTGCTTTTATGTACTTCTATTCTAGGAGGTGGTATTCCTGGTGGGGTGAGCTCAGCAGCAGCAGCAGCAGCAGCAGCAGGAGTGGGTGGTTTGCCTCAGAAACAGCCAGCAGGTGGAGACCGCTATGCTGCTCTAGCTGAGCTTGATACAGTCTTCAGCACCTCAGCACCTGCCACCATTGTTTACAATACCACCAGCACCTCACAAGGGTAAGAGACTGCACAAACCAACATAAATCAGACAAATCTTTTTTCTTCATTCTGATGATCAGTGTTCCAGAATACACTTAGGAAAAGGCCACCGAGTACCTTTCTTTTTGCATCCTTTCCTAAACAGGAGTGTGTTTGGCTCAGAGACGGGGGTGTCAACAGCACAAATACAGCAGGCTGTGCCCAGCATGGCTCAGGGTTTTGGAGGTAAGTGAACTTAAACACGTCTCTGATTTGTTATGGTAACAATGTTCACAAAATTGACACGGTTGTTAGTAATTGTTCATGTTTTACATTTCTAAATAATTTTAGAGTGAGGTTGAGGAAACTGAGACAATCACCGAGAGATTTGGCAGTTTCTTTTTGTACAACTTGCGTACTTAAATGATGATTCTTAAAGCATCATAACTTTATCATAACTTAAAACTTAATTTGGCAAGAATCAGCCTAGTATGGTCAAGAATTTATTTTTGTTTCATTAACATTAGTTAATTAGTGATGTATAAAGGACATTGACGTGGAACTGTCAAAACACCCTCTATAAGCTATCTTTAAAAAAGAAAAATGTTTAATGTATTCTTCTGCTTAGGACTTCATGCTAATTAATGTTAATTTGATGCTGTTTTTCCCATCAGCACACCCAACCAATCCATTTGTAGCTCCTGGTGTTGTCCCAGCAGCAGCTCCAACCAACCCATTCCAGTGCAATGGCAGAGCAGCAACTGTTGCAGCTGCAGCAGGTTTGTTTTTGTTGGCTGTGTCTGTGTGTGTTTTGAGAATCACCTTACTCACTTAACACCCTGCTTACTCACTTAGTTTAGTAGTTCAGTTTAACAGTGTGTATAGAAATTAAATGCACTTGTTCAGTCATAAAGTTAGTGTATTAAAAGCAGTCTTTTTTTGCACATTGGAAGTGGCAACCTTTGCCTGTGCTACCTCAGAAGTGATTATATCTCTGACAGTGCCAAACACAGAAAAAGCAACAGGAAAGTGGAGGAGGGCAAAAAGATTGAAAACTACAATTCACTATGGAACTGGTTAGCAAGAGAAGTGTTGCCATTTACTGGTGTGCAGAGATTGATTTTAAAAATAAATCGGTATGGTGAAGAATTTTTAGATTCAGTTGTCTGTCTTATTGTCCTTGGCGTGCTGGACAGGCTTGATGAGGGTTCTTCATTGGCATGGGTATCCTCCCACCTTTGGTAGGTTTGTTTGTGCTAACTGCTTCCCCTTTGCTCTCATGTGCTTTGCTCTGCCAGTGAATGATTTTAGCTGTCACTGAGGAAAATCTCGAAAGACGTAAACACGGCACCACTGAAATAGCCCAATAATCCAGTTACCATTTCATCACAGAGGAACAGAGTGAAGCTGAATGAGAAATGACTAATAACGATAGGTTTGAGGATGGATTCATGTTTCCCAAATATCTGTGGTTTCTGCAGCATGGTCCTCTTCTCGGTTAAAGAATTAAAGGGGAAATATTAAACTTTATTGTTCATTAAACGAAAACTTACACCCTGAGTTATTAATCACGCTAATTACCAGATATGCTTCATTCAATGAATGAATGAAGCCTGTATCACTTTATCAGCTGTAAACTGTGTGTGTGTTTTCTTTTGTTTTTCTTAAATCACTGATAGAATTGCTTGGTTTTTAGCTGGCTGTCTTGACACATTTTGATCCCAGCTGTTGCTCCTGTGTGTTCACCAGAGATCAGACACTGCCACTAAACTTACTGATAGGGATGGGTATCGTTTAGGTTTTATCCGATACCGATGCCAAACCGGTACTTTTGAAACTGTGCTGATGCTTAAACGGTGCTCAAACCGGTGCTTAAAGAATGGAGAACACAAAATTGGTCAAAAATCTCTCATGTTCAGCTGTTTTTTTGTTTTTTTGTTTTGGTTTTTTTGTAAAAAGATAACAGTGTTAGATAACAGTGTTAGATAACAGTGCTTAAACAATGGAAAAAAACACAAACTTTGTCCAAAAACCTCTCATGTTTAACTGTTTTCCACTTTTTCTTTGGTCATTTTAGCCTTTTTGGCCAGGGTGAAGGGAGTATCTGCCATCAAACAAGAAGACAGCCGCATGTAACTACGACGTGTTGTTAGTTCACCTTACATGCATTAATGTAATAACATGGTTAGCCTTCTCAATGTAAATTACACACCAACAACATTAAGCTACTCACGCAGAGAAGAACGGCTGCTGCCACCATCATCCTCATCATTTCTGCTACACTGGCAGGGCTAGGGGCCAGGACTCTCCTCTTCGGGTTTTTGGGGGATGTTGCTGACTCCGCGTCCGATAACAGGCAACCCACCCGCAGTAGATGCGCTCGATGTGAGGTCTCGCAGAAAGCTATCATACAGCGCATTTCTCGGCGTTTAAAAAAACACTATACGTCGCCAGGTGTTTCATCAGATTTGAGGTGTTACCTCCTTTGACAGTATCACAGTATCAGCTTAAAGCACTTGTTGCTGCTGAGTTTGCATATTTTGCTGTGAAGTACAGCCAGACTTTTGACCGCTTCGCCTTGGGCATTTTAATCTGTAGCTCTGCTCTAAAAGAACGTACGTACCTGGACCCGCCTACTATCCTTGGAAACGTAAAATGATTGGCTAGAAGTGTATCACATATCAGGAAAAAAAGCACCGAAATAAAGCACTGAAATGTGCGCTGCTTTTCGGTCTGGTTACTACAGTTTATGTCAGAACCGGATACCGGTACCCATCCCTACTTACTGATGTCTGATTCTGACTCCCTCTTTTCTTTTTTTCTACAGCTTGTGTGCAGACACTCTTATTGCATGTGTTTAAACTAGCCAAATAAAAAACGAAACAAAACTGAGATTCTGGCAATCCCAGCACGACACACAATACTGAATTGTAGACTTTTTTTGCCCAAAACGAGTCACACTGGGTTACAGAATCGCAGCAATAGATCAAACCAAATTTTGCCTATTATGTGTTGAGCTTTTGTTGGTTCCTAAATGTTGCTGTTCTGCTATTTTGCAGCACCATTTGGCACAGGCTCCATGAGTATGCCAGCTGGATTTGGGAATACTGCAGCCTTCAACCTCCCCACCAGCTTTAGTGGAACGTTCCAGCAACCCTTTCCTGGTCAGGCTCCCTTCCCTCAGCCTCCCGCGTATCCCCAGCAACCCAACGGTGTGTGTCATGTAGACAATAATGGCTATGGTGAGATTTGAGCTGTAGTTGTCAAGTGGTCGTCTATAAAATGTTGAAGACTTTTCTTCATGTAATATTTGGTTCATTTTATTAACCCTGACGGAAGAGGTCTTATTTGATTTGGTAATATTATTATTATTGTTATTATTGTTTTAATTATATTTATAGCTATATGAAAATAATATAGAGCAAGCTAGATAGATAAATGAGAGAGAGAGAGATCCATGTCCATCATGTAACAGTTGAAATCACATTATGTCTTTCAGGTGGAGGATTTCCAGCCTTCGGCCAGGCCAAGTCTGTTGCAACTCCTTTTGGGCAGGCAATGGCAGGACCTATGGTCTCTAGCAACCCTTTTCTGGTTAGTCTGGTGGCTATGTGCTATAGTCTCCTGGATCAGTACTGTGCAAAAATCTTAACTCATCTTTCATTTCTTACAGTGGCTTGCAAAAGTATTCGGCCCCCACAAACATGAATCAATTTTATTGGAATTCCACATGAAAGACCAATACAAAGTGGTGTACACGTGAGAAGTGGAACAAAAATCATACATGATTCCAAACATTTTTCACAAATAAATAACTAAAAAGTGGGGTGTGCGTAAATATTCAGCCCCCTAAGTCAACACTTTGTAGAACCACCTTTTGCTGCAATTACATCAGCCAGTCTTTTCTAGAGACTGAAATCCTTGCCCATTCTTCTTTGCAAAACAGCTTCAGCTCAGTCAGATTAGATGGACAGCGTTTGTGAACAGCAGTTTTCAGATCTTGCCAGAGGTTCTCGACTGGATTTAGATCTGGACTTGAGAGCTGACCCTCATCATCTGACTCTTCAGTTGATCCATCAGAAATAGTCTTAGTGGAAGGGTGGCCGACAAGAAGCCATTCTTCAGGAAGCAGTATGTTCAAAAAACGTCAGGAGAGGGTTCCACTGTGTATACAGACATCTGTAAGACACTGTGGAGACTGGAGCCTACCCCGGCTACCCGTGAGAGGCAGCCAGGCTTTTACAGGGCTAACATGGAGAGACAACCATTCATACTCACACCAATAACTCATGCAAACATGGGGAGAATATGCAAACTCCACACAGATAGTGGAGTCGAACTGAGGACCTTCTGAACCACTTTGCTGCTATATTTGTCACCATGACAATGATCCTAAACACACTGCCAAAAGCAAATCTGAATGGAAAACCACGCAGTGGAACACTATCAGTCATGGATTGGCCTCCCCAGAGCCCGGGCCATAACATTATTGAAGTAGTGTGGAATCAT